GCTAAGATAATACTTTTTCGCTTTAATCTTGGTCACCAGATATATATTTCTTTGAAAATCAAGTTATAATCTTAAAATTTAATTATAAACAATTTAGAATAATTTAATTTTCACAAGTTCTTGAAAAATATGTAATAAGAAAAATTATTATTTTTGCATATTACTTAGCCATTCAATATTTTGAATACAAATATTTAAGTTACAATTTAAATATATTAAACACGTGTACTTATATTAAATATATTAAAAAGGCGCGAGTTTTATCGAAGTATTGTAGTAGTTTTCATACAATATAGTTTGCATAATATTTTTTGTTAAGAATAAGAAAAAATCTAAGAACTTCGGCTTTATGCTCGTTTTGTCATTGTGGTATTTTAATATGACGAAATTACCGGGAAAATATGAACATTTTCTAACTTTTAGAATTAAATATATTGATATAGCATATCATAATTATTAATTAAGTATTTATTTATAATAACTCATTCGCAAATGTAATCCTCTTGAGAAATAATTTTACTGTAATCAAAATAAATATTTTCCATGATCTCAACTCGCATATAAGTCATTATTAGTTTCGTATGGCTTAATAGTTGTACATAGGATTTATATTTAAGTTCGTTTGTCAGAATGGCAAAACTCATCGTTGAACTGTATATAGATTCCTGCCAAACTTATGGATGGAAAAAAGGGAAAGAGAGAGATTTGTCTCCATTCTCTAGATGAACCTTTCTGCCCAGAAAGGAAAGCAGTTCGTAACCGATAGGTTAGAACCTATAATTGTCTTCATTGTTTATTCAAATGACCACTACAGATGCAGATTTAGCATTTTGGCGCTCCTAGGCTTAATCACTCTGCTCCCCCCCCCATCACTCAACTAAGGAACCAACAATATTTGGTCTAAACTTTTCTCTTCAAATTTTATTCAGTTATTTTATCAAAAAAAAAATTATAAAATATAAAATCTTTAAAATAGAAAACTTATAAAAATAAAATATTTCATGTTTATTATTTTACTTCAAATACCATTATTAACAGTACAAATAAACAATACTTATACAGTCACATAACGGAAATATAAATAGCCAGATATGAAAATACCTATAAAAAATACTTGGAATAAATACTTGGATAGTCAGATGTTCCCAATATGTAAGTACATAGGTACTAATAAGTTATTAATAATAATTTGTAACTATCTGTAATTATTTTATTACAAATGAAATATTTTCAAATTGTAATAATAATTGTAATATTTTTACTATAGCCTATAGGTACGCATCATATAATGCACATTTTAATATACTATTATAACTTTTTAAAATTATTTTTATTTGTGTTTATATGACAAATATAAAAAAATATATATTAAAATAAATATACCTAATAAGTCAATAATAATACTTAATCCTATACAAGAAAGAAGCCCTCCTAAAAAAGCCGTCCTAGGCTGTAAGCTTTTTAGCCTGCCCTCTAATCCGCCACTGGACCACTATCGATCTCCCAATTCGTTATGACTAGTTTCCAGTAGTTTTTCGAATTATTCTCAAGAGTTATAGTACAAATGAATAAACGAAATATATTAATATTATTATAACTGTTATTATCATACATGCTGTACCTAAATGCAAAAAAACAATCGTATTACTATGAAGTCATATAACATCATGTTCGATTTTCTATTGATAACTAAAGTCAAATTGAGTTATTTAACTGAAACAAAAAGGATACATTGATGTATTGAATTTTTTTTTTATATAAAATCATATACATAGCACGGTTTCAAATTATATTTTCCTTTTGAATTCTTTGTACCTATTTAACTTTTTTTTTTTTTTATAAACGCAAGAGAAGTTTTTACAACACTTACTGTTTGTTAGCGCCATTATACAATTCACTACATTATAACCGATGCTTATATAACAACTTTTATCCAATGTTTTCAATATTAAAATTTGACGTTATGTTTACGGCTTAAAATTAGGCCAGTCTTATCAATTATTAAAGAAATTATGTATTTTTGGATAATATTGTTCGGTAGTTTCGAACAGTGACAAGTTTGCTGACAATAGACAAGCCTTGTTATATTTACTGATTCGTTCGCATAAAGGTGACTAACTACTGTCAGAGCCGGCTTTTGATACGATCGACGCGTGCAACGGCACAGAGAGTTTAAGTTGGAAGGGCGCGTGAGAAGTATCAAAATCAAAATTAAATTTGATCAAACGTTGGTATCAAAAATCATCTATTTTAGTAAGAGAAAACAAAAAAATTTCACAATGTAATTTATTTTAAGTTTGATTATTAATATTATTTGTTATTACATCGACATGGAAATGGCCAGGTTATTAGTTACATTTACGGTTTTATAAACTATCACCTATAATATTATTATTATTACTATTTTATTTGTTCTCTGCATGGTATATATACATGTGGCAAGTAGGCACGTTTGAAAAATTATTACCAGCATAGCTTAGACTTAGACTCTCCAGCTGTCTTAATTTTTCCCATTTAAGTAGTATGTTTGAGTCGTTTATTAAGAGGGGGGGGGTGTCAAAATAATTTTTGCACTATGCACTGAAAGAGTTAAACTGGCCCTGGCTGCTACTGCCATATCGTGATTTATAAACACTTGAACGACTGGACTGGGGATGAAAAGTCTACGGCACGTGCGTTACAGTGTAAGAGACACACAGGTTCAGACGACACGGTTATTTTAGTGGCATCGAAAGTTCAATTTTTATCGCATAACATAATATTGTTATAATGATCGGGTTATCGTCTGAAATAACCGACAGAAAGAAAATGCAGATACAAAGAATCGATAACATGGTGGTATAGGATTTCTTGAAAAAACGAATAATGCTTGTACGAACACTCGAAACTCGATATTATAACAACGCATCCCGGATTGATTCCGGATATGACGAAATAATGCCGCGTGAGCGTATATCATGGTAATGACTAGGTTTCCGTTGAAACATTTTCAAGCCAGACGACGCGTGACCCGCAAAAAAGGGTTGACGGTTTTTAATCATTCCGACGCATGTTAATGCGATAGAAAAAAAATAACATTTCATCGTAAACAATGATATGTATAAACGTACATTTTTTTAAAGTTTCAATAATATACATGACAATCGAGTACGGAAAAAAAAACTGGATGTAGTATCGTACAGTATAGAACAGTGTCAGTGTCGTGCAACACGCGAGCGATAAAGTCTGTAGTACTGATAGCAAGTGAGTTCTCCTCGGGTTATCAGATGGTTTATTTTTTTATTTATTTTTGTTCCCCGTTATATGTTTTGCCAAAACACTGCTGCGACGTTCGAATAAATCATGCAAGGCATTATGCCGTGATAACAATGCATACAATAGATTCTATACATATACATAATACTCTCGGTAATTTAATTATTATATGGAGTCAGTAAACTCATAGACAGGCAAATTGTTATTTAACCCGGTCGTTTTGGATTCGAGTTCAAATTTGGTGAAAATCAAATGTGCACCGAATAATTATTCCGTCCGTCCACGCGGACCGACGGTTATGATTTCAATTTTTCTTCCCCCTACACCGCCAAACAAATATTTTTTTTTTTCATAACAACTATACGTACACTCGAAATAATCCAGAAGATCATCGATATTTAGAATTTTCGTTTTAATATCACATGACGTATTAACTCGCCAATTCAATTAAATTGTAATCCGAAAGTACAAAAAGGTATTTTCGAAATATATTGAAGAAGTAAAAATTTTTTTTTTTTAAATCTTTAATGACTTTATAGTTTTAATATTTTCTTTGGAAATTTATTTATTTCCAAGACTAACTAGATTTTAAACGAACTATTTTGAAACGTGTCATACAATACAATTAATGGCAACACAATACATTTTATATATATATTTATTTATTTTTATTTAATTTAATTTCATATATAAATACTGTCTGTTTTCTTGATAGATTCTAGATTGAGATTCTAGATAGTGTCTTATACTTCAATCAGACAGAACCTATACTTGAGGTGCACAACCTGATTTTCATTCATTTTTTTCATTTATTTTATAATTTAATTAATTAATAAATTAAATTGTTCATTTAATAATAATACAAAGTCTTAGAAGTAAGAATAGTTTTTAAAAGATTTTAAAGATATATATTTCATTCCGATTTTAATAATCGGTTATATAATACTTCTTATTTTCCACTAGTTTTCCACACACTAACTTATTATTATCATATCAATATTCTTATGTAAAACGGCGTTCTGAACAGGCAACTAAGAGGCACTAATGCAATTAGCATCAAAATTTAACTTTAGATGCTTAACTCCGGGCTCAATTTTGTTCACTAAACAGCCAAATAAATAAAACATCAATAAATCGTATTTGCATTCGAATCATCTGGATTTTCAGTTATCATTAAAATTTAATTTAAAATTTGTGTATGCAACACAAGTGACCATGCCACATTACCGTACATCAGTATTCGTCCAATCGGCAATGACTGCAACTTATACATGATACTATGGTGGTATTTGGATGACTTGGGGACGTGACGATTGCATTTTTAGAAATATTTGACTATCTTCGACACTTGGTACCTTGGAAAATATAGACATTCATTGACAGACACGTTTATAAGTGTAAAACATTATTGGTCTAATATATGTCAGCTGTAGCAGACATAATGCGGATTGCCCGGATATATACCAAACAGTTGTTTTCCACATCTAAGATAGGACATTGACTTAGAGTGAATGAGATTAACACTAAAAAATTCTAGATTACCCATAAAAATACAACGATCGATAGTGTATTATGCAAATAATATTGTAACAAAATTGAAATCATGATAACAATAAATTATTAACATAAAAAAAACATCATTCAATAAATCAATTTAGGTACATAATAGCTATATCATTGATTCATTAATAAATTAATATATATTAATATTAATACTGATAAAATATAATAAAAGTGCGATAACTGATGAGCTATAAAATAAGTTTTCTCTAAACTAAAAAAAAAAAAAAAAACATGCGCCGTATAGTAAAACTGATTTTAACGATTGAGTACTAAACATTGTTACGGGCTTTGGATGATTTTTCTGTTGAACATTATAAGTAAAATATACATAATAATAAACTTAACAATAATTAAATTTAATAGCTCACCTCTATAAGGACATCGATTTTTTGTTGAATAGTTTAATCGGTTTCCCAAGGCCGTTTTACCTCTACTACTACAGATCCACAACCATGCTCAATATTGTTTTTGTCCGTCAAAAAAAATCGAACTTTGTACGTTCCATAAAAGAATATTTTAGGAAAATTCGAATTCGATATAAAATTTGTCAATTCGTATTTTCCTTTTCCGACGTAGACTCCCTGAAAGTAAAACTATCCTCAGTAAATGTATAATGTATTAATTTAAAAATATTTAAATATATCACCGGAAGCAATGGACAGTTCGTGTTTTCAGCTCCAAATGAATTCAAAGCTAATTTCCACTCTTTCCCCAAAAAATTTTTTATTGTTGTGCAGGCTTTTTCAAATTTGAAAATATGAGCATTGTCTTTCCAACCTCCAATTGAGTCTTTTATAGCAAAAATTGCATTTGCCTACGAAAATAAAACGTTTTATTCCATAAGTTCAGACAAATTCAAGTACTAAGTTTTTATGTGTTTATTTCTTGATGAAAATGGTATTTTTATAGTTAAATTAAATTGGATCAAGTGCATTGATACGGTACATCGTATTAACCACGTAACTTCTATGTAACGAATCGAAAATATGTGTGTACGCTGTTAAGCACCGAAAGAGGCTAAATACAGAAGTTACCTACTTATATATTTTACGATTTAATTATGTACGTATTGTAATTTTTGTTTTAAAATTAATTCAATATTAATGCAGAATACTTAATACTTCTCATTGGTTTATAATAAAAATTTAAGACGTAAAATGACAGTAGAGTGATACTGAATCTCGTCAATAAAAACTGGAAAAAAAGTTGATCTCGTAATAAATGAAAGTCAATAATCAAACGTTCACAAAGTAACCGCGGGTAACTAAAATAGACCAACAATTGATTTTATTACGAAAAATTCAATAAAATTTAAATAAATACTACGGTATAATCACATTTACTGTAGCAATACGATTTAAGATATATATATATATATATATTTATAGTAACTATAATTAATACTCGTATATATTTAAATGTTTTGTATATAAAAATGACGTGTTCGATGGTTTGTGTCTAACAGACTACAAAACTACTTAACCGACTTTTTCAATATTTTACTTTATCATAATTGTGATTTTGTCCAAATAATTTATACTATATACTACTAATGGCTAATTTAATCATAAAGGGATGACGCAAAAGTGTTGAAAGAGAATTTCCATCGGCCAATCAAATCGCGGCTAAAAACACAGCTCAATAAATCTGGATAAGAGTGAGTCGTGTATAAATATCTTGAGAACAAGGGTAATGCGTGAACAACACATAACCTTGCAGTTCATCTTGAAAACGGTCAACATGTATCTTTAACCGAAGAAAATTTTCTTCAAAGCGCACTTGAACCACCAAAAACGACACTGATTGAATTTTTCGCATTGACTCAAAAACCTAACGTTTCAGCCAATTCGCACAACCATTATAACATATTTCACGTTATTTCATAAAAAGTATCCCTGAAAACGTTCTTAAATCAACCATGTTAACTGAAAAGCTTAAAGAAAATAATCGTCTTGTTACCACGTATCCCATTGTTACCTTCAAAATCTTCAATAAAATTCAAAAGGCTTCAATTTCCTATTCGTTTGGCCTAAAAATGTAAATTTGTGACTGGGACCTACAAAATTTATGTAAATCCCATGATTACCTATTTGTTGTACTCACCTGTTGGGAAACCATCGAATCTGTTTGTGTCAGAAAAATATATACGTAGGTCAACCAAAAATATTGTACACCAATTAGTACTTGTTAAATTAAAAATATAAATGTTCGTAATTTAAAAAAAAAAAAAAAAACAATTGTTAAAAATAATTAAAAACTAAACCAAGTAAAGTTGGGTAAATCAGCTTGTATATAGATACTTGTGTGTATATCTATGCTCGTATATACACACATTAAAAAAATTTAATTAAATTTATTTTTAATTCGTTATTTCATGTTGATATTATTGTATAATATCCAATATTGAAACATAAATATACATATAAAAAAAAAAAAACTTTAATTACTGTTAAAATTTTAATTTATTCAATGTATTAATGAATCTGTAAAATATTAATTGTTATTAGAAACGACATTTTATTATATTTAATGAACTTACGGTCCATGAATCATCAATTGGCTTGCCGATTGTTACGTTTCCTCTAATTTCAGTAGTATTTGCAGATTTCTTACTCAGATAAAGGTTTAGTCTTATATCATTATTTGTTTTTATTTGACATCTTATAAAAGCTTTATACTCTATTCTAAAGTCACCCTGAAAGATATCAAATTAAAATCAATTTTTGAATATAAATTTTAATTATTATATAATATTATTAATATATAAATTAATATCTAACAATTTTAGAAGAGTTATTGAAAATAAATATTGTGAAGGGAAGTAATATAAATAAGATCAAATGGCAAATAATGACTTATATTATAGGCATCGCCTAAACATAATACCACGAAAGTGTACCGTTGTATAACTATATTTTTAGTTGAAACGAATAAATTACTAATTTGAAATTGAAAAACAAATTAAAGGTTTTATATAATTCAATAATTTAAAATAGCTGTAGTATAGTAAAAAAAAAAAAGATCATTAGAAAGTTATTTCAAAATTATAAAGGTTAATGTTGAACAAATTAAATATAACACATCGGTCGTGCACACTAAAAAGTATAGAAATTGACAAATATAACTGTTCATCAATTTGACATTTAGCAAATAATACGCGCTTGATTTCATCCTAATTTCTAACATATTAAATTTGTATAGAATTCGACTTACTACCGGTAAATTCGGAAAGAATTTTTGGCTGTTCACTCCAAGATCATCATGAAACACCACTGCACAGATGATAACAAATATGTACTTCATGATTAGTTTTTCTACTCTACACATTTGTATGATTTTCATAATAAATTTTAACTGTCGAAATTCGCTTGAATCTAGTTCAAAACGGGTTGCTGTGTGATGCATAGACCGTTGACGGGTTTTTCCGTATAAATACCAGAGTCGAACGTAATTAAGTGTACGGACGGATAACAAATCTGATGCACCGTCTAATTTTTTCGACCTTATGATAACTATGTAAAATGAGTAATAAAAAAAAAAGAAACCTCATTAATATTCTGATTTTCGCATTGATAATCCGAAACTGTATATGATTTAATATTATTTTGCACAGCTGATGGACGATTGACGAAATGTGATCCTATTCCGCCGCGCTAACTAGCGTCATTATTGTGTCATGGTGAACGGTTTTTATTCGGCTGCTGTCATTGTGTCCACGGTTAATCGGACATTTTAATAAAAATCGGATGAAATGCCACGTGATTATGAATTATTATCGTGCGTGCGCAGTCACCGCAGTATTTACCATCTTACCGCACTGTTGGACTGGATGTTATTGTTCATTATTTCGATCGGATTGTTGAAATTATTGTTTTGCAGTTCGCGGGGAAAATAATTTCATCGCGACCGCTGGCCGAAAACCATCGGAATACGAATTGGAACCACCTCGAGATTGATATAAATTGAAATTGATAAGCGTTTTTGTACATTATTATACGCGGAAGACGAATCTCTTAATCAGAGGGGCCCTCATTCCCCATGATATTAAATTATTAATATCGTAATAATTTAATTTCTAGTAGCCTTCAGTTAATGCGCAATATGTAGATGTATGTAACTACTAACTACACTAAACAGACAATCACAATTGTTAACAGTTGTTGACTGCAGCAAAAAAAGATTTTAAAAACAATAAATACCTACTAAAAATCATGATTTATGTTAAAATGTTATCTATGTGAGCGAGTTTTATTAGTTTATTATTGTTATCGTAAATTTTTTGCTATCGAATGTCAGACGGAAAGACCGATGTACCTACCTAGTACCTATATTTAAAACAGTTTAACCGCAACTGTCCGATCGAATTTCAAACTTTATTCGTCCATCAATGAGTGATTCTGTCACTGCAAAAAATAATATTTTTGATAAGCATCCTATACAACCGTATGTAAATTCTGAAACAGTTAATGTTCATTTTAAAAGAATATACTATAAACAGCTGCCAAATGGAGATGTTGTTCAAAGAAAATGGGTCTCATATTGTATGGAAACAAATTCTTTACACTATTCCAATTGCATGGCATATGGAGTATATGGGAATTATGGGGAAATAGAAACTAAATTTATATCTGGTTATGAAGTGGACATTAAAAAAAATAAAATTTTATACTGTGATATAACAATCAACGAAAATTCAATTTTCATATTAATTCTACAAATACAGCTGTACGTTTTAAATTAAATAAAAATATTCAGTCAATATTAAATAGAGATGATATAAAAAAAGGGTTCAACAAGTTAAAGTGCGAAGACAAGTATTAAAGCGTACAATTGATATAGTTTTGTTTATTGGCAAACAAGGTATATCATACCGTGGAAAGCATGAAGCTACTCATTCATTATCTGTCAAAAGTTTAAACCATGAAAACTTTTTAGAACTTGTAACACTTGTGGCAAAGTATGAAACTATCCTAGGACAACACGTTGAAAAATAAATTACATTAAGTGATAAAAACAAAAACAAAAATGGCAGAGGATCTACGGTAACTTTTTTATCAAAACACTTTATTAATGAAAAATTTATTGTGTTTATAGGAGCAGCTATCCAAAGAAAAATAATTGAAGAAATTATTGAATGTAAGAAATTTAGTAGGATTATGACTTATAATTATCATAATAACTTATGATTGATAGTACTCAAGACGTAAGCACTATGGACCAGCTTGCAATTTGTGTTCGTTATATTTTCAATAGAATCATACAAGAATGATCACTAAGTTTAGTCATTGGTAAAGATTCTAGTGGTAGAGCAATTTTTCAATTGCTAGAAAAAAAATTAAAAGGTTATGAACTATTACTTGACGATATTGTGGCATATTCTTTGGATGGGGTAGCAAATACGAAGGGGATGTATTATGGTTTACAAGCATATTTGAAAAAAGTCAATCCAGATATTGTAAATACCCACTGCATGGGTCATATTCTAAATTTGGTATTAAGTGACTTTAAAAATAATTTACAGATGACAGAAGATCTATTTGGGTTAGTTGAACAATCAGCAGTTTTTTTAATTGATTCTCATAAAAGAATGACTAAATGGATGAGTATAACTGGAGAAAAACATTCTGCACGTGGATAACTTTATTGTTTACATAAAATTGGTGCCATTAGATGGTGGAGCAAACAAAAATCACTGTTTTCTATCATGGATTTACAAATAGTTGAAGATAACAATGATGTTAAAAATAGTAAGTTTGTTGCTTGATATATATGCAGTAACAAGTCTAGTATTAGTGTATTTGCAAACTAAATCAATAAACTATCTACAGGCTTGGAAAATGATTGAAACTTTACAAACACAAATTGAAAAAAAAAATGAAAATTATATAGCCTCATTATATGCAAAATGTAAATCCTTTGCAGAAAAAATAATTTGTTTTTTAATGAAGAAGACATGATAGATATTCAAGAAGATTTTCCTGTTAAACGTATAACAAAGAAAAAAAATTTATCTGGAGAAAAATGTTCAGATGAATCTAGAGTGTTAACTCCCTATACAACGTTTAAGTCAAATGTTTATTCTATTTTGGATACTATTATTAATAGTATACAATCACGATTTTTATATAATGAAGTGTTATTAAAATATTTAAATTGGCTAGATCCTAGAACATTTTCTTTTATTAAAGAAATTGAACAATTTCTCAAGGACTCGTTAAAAACAATATGTAAACTAGCCGGTTTAGACCAACAAATCATTGCAATTAAATTAAAACAATTTGCTTGCCAATATATCAGTTTTTTACCTACATCTGAAAATAATTTTCATGATGAACTTATTAAAAATAGACATGTTGATGAAGATAAAGATAATGAAATTGAACCCACCGAACAAGTTAAATATAACAAATGTACTAAATGTATCTACTGTGCATTTACTGTGCTTCGAGTACTTTCATATCAATCGAATTTATTTTGCAATTTATTTACATTTTATAAAATTATGTTGCTATTACCATTAACTCAGACTACATGTGAAAGAATATTTTCAAAATTGAAAATAGTAAAATCTAAACTTCGGTCTTCTTTGCACCAAGAAAATCTTAAACCATTAATGTTAATGACCATTGAAAATGATATTACCATTGACTCCAATACATAGATTGATACAATTGCAAACTCATCTAGTCAGCTAAAAAATTACTTTTATAAAGTTATAAAGAAAAACAATTGGTATAATTTACGTTGCTTTGTAAAATATTAAAACAATTAATCACTCTAGTTAGGTGTATTTATAATTTTTTGTGTATTTTAAAAAAGGTACTCAATATTTTTTTGATGTTTTTTTTCTTAATAATCTTTATAGAATTTTATTATTAATAGTTTTTATAGTTTTTCAAAGGTTAAAAAAATATAATTATAATTTATTTATAATTGCACTATTTATTTACACTTTTTATAAATTGATGAGATATTTTTGGGAGCACTACTGAAGAAATGCATCCGAGGCCCTTTTAGTGCTAGGCCGACACTGCTCTTATTATAAACCGTTGTCGAAAAATAATTGATACTCACTCAGGTTTGCGTGTTAAACCGTATATGTGTGCGACAAACGATAGTATCCAAGTTTTAAATTACGTTTACATCAATCAGCGTTTTTATCATTTATCCTATTTATCAAATAGTCGAAACAAATTCATACGAAATGGTTTGATTTGTGTGACATTGAACAGCCATTACTATTATGTGCGTTTGATACCGATAAGCATATAAATCGGTTCTATGCGTTTCAACGTAAAAATAAATAAATAAATAAAAAATAAATTCAAATATTCACCTACGTGTAAGAATTAAAAATGATTATTATGATTCTGAATTCAAAAAAAAAATGTTATCAAACGTAACAGGAAATTATCACTTTTCCCCTATATGTATATATTATACGTAAAGGGTTTAGGGGTGAAAAATGATAGGCAACGGTAATAATATTATTAGATATATAATACGGTTGTACGAAAAAAAAAGAAAAGTTTATGTGTGAAATGTAAATAGGTAACCGGAAAGAAACAGTGTTGCTGATCCACAGACTTGTAGAAGTATGATGAAAAATTATCGAAACTAAATTTTGTATTGAACTATTCAACAGTCATTGGGGACCCAGACATTTAATTAGGCACATCGTTTTCCATATTTCCCTTTCAGCGGTATTCAGATTATCGATACGCTCGGTTGAATTTAATTATTCTTGTTTATTTATTATTGTGGTATCACGGTCATACGTAATTCTTCGGTAGCGGCAATGTCCTTTCGACACTTGATCGAAATATATACACATAAGCAATTTCCCGGATCGCGACGATCGACGGTTGGTCGCTGGCGGGTGGGTTATGAGGGATACAGATATGTTTGCGAGCGACGACAAGACAAACGGATGGCCTCGGATAGAAAGTGCTGATTCCATCCGTACGATACATACATTTGAATTTCTGAATTCGAATTTTCAAACTCTATTTTAGTTGAGTAGCGTAATCGACCATTGTACCGTTGAAAATATTGCTCTTATGTTCAAATTTTAAAACTCATAACGAATGTTTGAATAGTTTTAGGAATTGACGGCAATGTAGCTCATTTTCAGAGACTTTGATGAATTTTGAAAGCTAGACACAACAGAACAATAGTTCTTCTACAATAGCAATTCATGCTTAATTCGTCACTTCCGTTTCAGGAGCAGATGAATTAATTTTAAAAGTCTATCCGGGTGCATCGGAGATTTGGAAGAAAACTAGCTAATGGCTGAAAGAACGTGTGATTATAGTTCCCAAAAATGATACGGTTTATAAAATCGACGAACAAATTCTTGGTAGGTATGTTTGCAACTCGGCAAGACATT